ACTTATTGATGCTCTATTGTGCAGTAGCATTTCATTTAACTTTAAGATAAGGCTCATATAGTATTACCCAACTAGTTGGTAAAGTGATTATGTGGTACCTTGGCTTTAGGTTTTAATTCGCACGAAACACCTTTTGGCATGCTTAACTTTCTGGTAACACCCTCACCTGCATTGGTTTTGTTTTTTGGGTTTTTGTTGTTGTTTTTTTGTTTTTAGATCCACAAGACATGAGAATCCTTTTTTGACAAGCCTTGGAAAGCTGACATTATCTCTTTTTTCCTCCCTCTGTACGAAGGATGTATTTAAATGAATGCTGGTCAGTGGGACATTTTGTCAACTGGTATTGGGTGCTTAACTGTCTAATATTGCCATGTGAATGTTGTATACGATTATAAGGCTTATGTCACTAAAGATTTTTATTCTGATTTTTCATGATCAAAGTTCATATGATATTGTATAGACAGACATGCTTTGTAGTGAACTATAGTAGCAATAATTTCTGTACACGATCAAGGGTTTATTGCAGCATTTCTTTTCCTGTTCTCTTTTTTTTTTAAGGGTTAGTATTAACAAATGGCAAGAGTAGAAAAGTGAACATAAAGATTTTACAAGGAGAATTTAGAGGATACAGATTTGTGATTTTTGGATGCGATACTTTTGGATGTGATTCTAAAAGCTTTTATTGAGCATTGTCAAATTTGTAAGCTTCATAGGGATGGACATCATATTTATAATGCCCTTCTATATGTGCTACCATAGATGTGAAATTCTTGATCTTAATATCGTCTTTGAAAATGTTAAATTGAGTATTCTGTTAACTTACATTTTATGAATTGGTGTATTGTATACTGCAAGAAATTTGATTTTCAGCACAGTGCAAAGTTCTTTCAAATGCATATGTCTTTTTTTCTAATTTCATTTTGTTTTAAAGCACATTTTAAATGTAGTTTTCTCATTTAGTAAAAGTTGTCTAATTGATATGAAGCCTGACTGGTTATTTTATTCCCGTTTACAATGAGACATTTAAACACATTTTATTTCAATAGATTTTAATGTCTTCAATGTATATTACTTGATCCTTTTCTGAAGATGTTCATGTAGTGCCTGTGATGTATGTAGTTGGGTCACATGGGCTTTTATCTAATGATTTAAATATCTTCCTAACTGGAGTGTAAGTTGAGCAATTTCTAATAGAATTTTTAATGTGCTCTTAGTAGCCAGTGAAGCAGGTCTAGAAAATAAGCTTTTAGCAGGAAACAGGGCAGTCTTTTATTAATCTCAGTATTAATCAAAACACATTTAGATCCTACTTTACTGGGTTTTTATAATAATTTGTTCAGGTCAATACTGATTATGAAAAAATAGTCACTAATTAATATTGGTCACTAAATTTAAAAGTATGGAAATTTATCATGTTTAAAAATTATTTAAGGGGCCAGCCGGTGGCTCAGTTGGTTAAGAGAGCGAGCTATGAGCAACAAAATTGCGGGTTGGATTCCTTCATGGGCCAGTGAGCTGCACCTGAACTGAGCTGCCAACAGGTGGCAGGATGGCTCAGTTGGTGAGAGCACGTGCTCCTAACAACAAGGTTGCCAGTTCCACTCCCACGTAGGATGGTGGGCTGCACCCACCCGCAACTAGGATTGAACAGGGCACCTTGAGCTGAGCGGCCCAAAGCTGCCGATGTGGGGGCCAGATGGCGACTGGACTTGGAGCTAAGCTAGCTGCGCCCTCCACAACTAAGATTGAAGGACAACTTGGCTGTTCCAATTCCCCAACACCATTTCCCTACCCCAATTCCCCAATAAAATCTTGGGAAAAAAAAAAAAATAATTTAAGCAGTCTTAAAACCACTTTAATAGCTTCTTTTCATTCATTGTGTTCATTAAAAATATTTGCTTGGTAACATTTCTACTTGAAATTAATAAAACTTCATTTCTTAGGAGAAAAATATTCCTGTAATTTTTAGTGTCACTAAAATAGTGTCACTAATTTATATTGTTCTTCCTCTTATTTTTAATAATTTTCTATATTCAAATTTATCTTGAATCCAAATGTCATTTCATTCAAAGTTATTAAACACACAAGATAACTGATAACGATGGATCGCATGTATTATTTGGGTCAATTTTGTTGTTTTTTCCAATTATAGTTGACATTCAATATTATTTTATACTAGTTTCCAGTTTATAGTGTAGTGGTTAAACATTTATATAACTTATGAAGTGATCCCCCAATAAGTCTAGTACCCACCTGGCATTATACATAGTTATTACAATATTATTGACTATATTCCCTGTACTGTATTTTACATCCCTGCAACTATTTTGTAACTACCAATGTGTACTTCTTAATCCCTTCACCTTTTTCACCCAGTCCCCAAACCTCCTCCCTCCCGTCTAGTAACCTTCAGTTTGTTCTCTGTGCGAGTTGGGTTTGGTTTTTTTTTTTTTTTTAAGATTTTTATTGGGGAATTGGGGGATGGGAACAGCCCTGGGGAATCGGGGGGAGGGGAACAGACAAGTTGCTGTCTTTTTTTGTTGTTGTTCTTCAGTCTAGTTGTGGAGGACGTTGCTTCACTGGCCCAAGTTGGCACCATCATTGCACCCTTCCCGGGCGAGGCAGATCAGTCGCCGGCTTCTGGATGGCCACTCACAGCGGCTGCTGGCCACTCACGCTGGCTGCTGGCTACACACGGTAGCCCATGGCAACCCACTGCCACAGGGGCTGCAGCCTACCCCCGTCGCTGGCGACTCACAGCAGCCCAGCTCCAGGTTGAGCTGTTGTTCAGCATCTTAGCTGTAGAGGGCAGTGTCACGCCCTCATATGTGGGATCCGAACCGGGGCCCTCTGGCGTCCCAAGCCAGCTCTTAACCAACGCGCCACTCGGCCGGCCCTGGTTCGGTTTTTTTGTTGTTTATTTTTTTCTTTAGATTCCATACGTAAGTGAGATGATACAGTATTTGTCTCTCTCTTTCTGACTTATTTCACTTAGCATAATACTCTCTAGGTCCATCCATGTTGTCGCACTGTTCTTAAATGGAAAGAATTGACTACAGTTGACCCCTTGCATTTGAAGTTTTAACGTTCATTGTTTTAAATTTGCCCAGGGAGAAATTTTAATCATGATTGGCCAGACTGGTGTGTACAAAATGTGGAGTCAAATACCAGAAAGAATTTTAAGGCTTAAAAGATGCCTAATTGGAAGTGTTCAGAGGATATATATGCCTTCCAAAAAAGTTATCTGAAGAAAAGCCAGGAACATAATGAGATGTGTCCCTTAAGAATATAAAAGTGTCATATTGAACCAAGGAACTGAAATAAAAGTTCAGGTACATTCCATTGTCTCCTTGGCAACAATAACGAATTAAAATTTTATTATTTTACATCTTCATGCTAAAAATGTGTTTCGAATAGGAAAATGGTCACGCTTACTCTGCTCTTGCTATCCTGACCTAATCCACTCCCCTCTTCCTTGTGGATCCATCCCTGAAACAAAGCTGCACCTAAGAACACGTAATAGCCTCATTACATCAGTGGCATCCACTTAGAAATACTGTGTCCCTTTTTGCTGGTAGATTTCAGTGTGTTATAATTTCCTTAAACAGCTAAAAAGTGGTTAAAAGGATTTTAAAGGGACAGCATTCCTTGCAGAGTGAACAATAGTTAAATAAGAAAAATTGATTCCATGTCAGTATCCACCTAAAGTTTTATCATTATGCTCTTTATAATCTTTCTTAAAAGTGAAATTTAGTCTTTATTTTTAGTTGGGCATTTTGGTTAGTTGGCTTTAGATGCCAAGCTTTGCTTTTACATTTGAAAATTATTAACTCCTCATCCTTCATTGATTCTTTCTTTGAAAGGAGCCCTCTGGTCTCAGATTAGAAATACGGGTTGGAGATGGATGAGAAATGTAGCTGAAGAGGAATCAGCTTTGGGCACCTGGCAATTTAGAGTGCTCATTCAGAGGCTGTGCAGGGTGGACTTCAGGCCCTGAAGTTTCCTGGACAGGAGCCCCCACCCTTTGCTAGTTGCATGATCTTGGCTAAGAGACTTACTCTTTTTGAGCTCAGTTTCTTCATTTGTAAAATTGGGATCATCTTAGACCCTATCTTAAGTGGTTGTAGGGATGTTTAATGAGAAAATACATGTCAGACTGGTATGTTCTAAATGTCCAATAAACATTGACGATCAAAAAAAGAAAAATGAAATTTAAATAAAATCGGTCCAGCCACTTGAGTATTATGCAGTTACTAAAATTATTTATAAAGGCTAGCAACATGAAAAAAGGCCATATGTTAAAGGGGGAAAAGCAGGTTATACTTTAGAAGGGAAACGGAAAGTATGTCACCTAAAAAAAAATTAAAAACTGAAAAATCTATTCATTCATTGAATATTTATTATACACCTACATCCCAGGCACCTGGCCAAGGGTTAGGATGAGGCTACAGAAAAAGGTTCCTGTAGAAGAATTTGCAGCTTAGAACAGACTTAACAGAATGGGGAAACATTACCCCTTCTCACGGAACCACAGCATTCACACCTGATTTTAGTTTAAGTGGTCTCTTCCTCTCTGTTCACATACTTATTTTAACATAACAGGGCCTGCCTCTCCCATCTAGCTGGAGGGAAGATCAATGGCTCTAATACAATCCTGACTTTAATTAGTGTTCAAGGGAAAGGGGTTTAATTAGAAGGCCAAAGGAGGTCTGGGTGGGTGTTCGCGTTTTGCTTTGCCGGAATGTTAAGCAAGGCAGGATAAAGGTAGATCCGCTGGAAGCGGGTCCCCTAGGAGAGGCGCGCGCAGCTGTGGGCTGGTCCCGCCCCCGGCCGTGAGCTTTGCGCGCTGATTGGCCCGCGCCGGCCCCGCTCCCAATTGGTGGGAGGTCGAGGTGGCGCAACCTGCGAGCAACCGTCTGAGGCCTCGCTGCATCTGGGGAGGCTGACCGGCCAACCGACCCCTCTCACCGGCCCCAGGTTCCCGCAGGTATCTTCTTCCCGCGCCCCGGCTTCGGGCCTCGTCGGCCACTGCAGTTTCGGTTGTGCCTGGGCCCTCCGTTCCCTCTCACACTTAGCCGCACCGCCCACCGTGTGTGAGGATGTGGCGGCGTCTCAGACCCTTCCCCACGCGCTTCCGCCCGTGAGTCACCTCAGGTGGATTCGCAGCGACGAGAACACACCCTCCCAGCTTGGGTTTGGGAGACGGGTGGGGGCGGGAGGCGCGGCGGTCGGACCCCCGGCTGCTCGCAGCGGGAGGGCGGCGGGGGAAAGACGGCGAGGCGCCGGCAGGGCTCGTGAAAGGGGGCGGCGCCTCCCGTGGTCCGTTTGTGGGAGTTTCGTGGGCGCTTGGCTCTCGCGGCGGAGCGGGTTGTGCCGGCTGCTGGGCTGGGGCGGGAAGGGGGCAAAGGAGAGGAGACGCGTTCCGGTTCCCCAGTGCCCTGCCTGGAGACGCTCTTGCTCCGGGGGCTCCTGGTTGCCCACCTCCCTGCTGGGAAGAAGGGGACTGATGAAGGAGCCCGCCGCCCGCCTGCCTTCGTTTCTTTGGGGGCGAGGTTCGTGGCTGAGGTGGCTGAGTTGGCTTAAGAGCGCAAGCTTTGAGCAACAGGGCTGCCAGTTCGATGTGGGCCAGTGACAGGTGGCAGGATGGCTCAGCTGGTGGGAGCACGTGCTCCTCGCAACAAGGTTGCCGCCCGCCTGGGAAGGTGGCTACACCCACCTGCAACTAAGATTGAAGAACAACTTGGCTGGTCCCCTCCCCCAATTCCCCAGCACTGGTCCCCTCCCCCAATTCCCCAATTTAAAAAAACTAAAAAAATAAACCTAAGTAATTTAACATTGAAAGACTGCAAAGCCCATGCTATATTAAAATTTAGATCCTGTCTATTCACAAATTTTATTCTCTACCATAAGAACATTTTTTAAATACCTAAACTCCTTTAAATTTTTTTTTTTTTTTTTTCCCCGCTGAGCCATCCTGCCGCCTGTTGGCAGCTCAGCTCGGCCGAGAACCGCTGTTGCTCAGAGCTCGCGCTCTTGAGTGAGCTCTTAACCAACTGAGCCACTCGGCCGGCCCTCACCTTTAATTTTTTAACATTTAAATTCTATTAGTTGAGGTGGAATTTGGCCGTCATGTTTAGACTCTTCTTTCCTTGAAACACACCCTTCCTGTAAAAAAAAGATACAGTAATAGTGTTGCTATGTATTGAGTTTTTGCTAAGCATTCAGCGCTATGCTAGGCATTATCCATATACTTGTTCCTTTCCTCATTAATCCTACAAAATGTTAACAATGCCTAATAATAGGTAATTTCTATTGAACACTTACTATGTACCAGGTAGGTTCTTAAAAAGTAAAACAAACATAGGTGCTATTATTATCCCTAAGTGAGGAACCTCTGGTTTCAGAAGTTAAATAGCCTGAAGTCACAAAGCTAGTGAGACTGAATCAGGTCTTAGTCCAGGTCTGTTCTCCAGTGTTTTAACATATACTCTCAACTAGCTTTGCCCTTTTGGCTTCAGACTTCAGAATCCTGTCTTTAAAAAAAAAAAAAAAATCCTCATTTGATTATTGTCCCTTCTAGCTGCTGTTCATTTTCTTCCTTCTAATTGCCACATTTAAAAAAGGGGAGAGGAACACGTTCACACCTCCTGCATATCATTTTCTAGCACATCACTCTTTTAATTCTGTTCAATCTAGTTTCCACTTATTCCCACCACTTTGTTGAATTGTATTGCTTTATTCACTAATGGGCTGGATTTCTAATCGATTTGAACTTATTGAAACAATTGTGCCAAGTAATTTTATAAACACTGTAGGACTTAGCACTTGGCTGAGGCTAAAAAGTGTTCTTTGACCATTAAATGATTAAATTAGAAAAAAAACTAAACATCAGAATTGTAGAGATTTGATTATAGCCCCCAGCAAAGCTTCCAGCAAGTTTGCCAAAATATTTTTCATAAATTTGCTGTATTGTTTTTCAATAATTAGATTCTGTGTTATGATAGAGAAAAATGCTATAGTCATTTCAATAAAGATTCTTTTCTAAGAGTTATTTTATGAAAAAGGTGATAAGCCCATCCTTCTTCCCCACAGCAATTGCTTATAGAACCAAGCCATAATTTATTGTGCACACTTATACTGCAAATGGTAGAATTAAATTTTTATAAAGTGTAACCCTATAGCTGGGTTTATGTTTTCCTGGCAAGGTGACCATAACATTGAATTGCTTACTATGTGTCAAGTGTTTTACACATGATTTAATTTAATTTTTAAAACAATTCTTTAGTAGTTGAAGAATATGGGGCTTTGGTGTCAGAAAGTCCTGGATTCAAGTCCTAGCTTTATCACTTACTAATTATGTGGCCATGGGCAAATTTCTTAATTTCTCTAAATCTCAAACTTCTCATCTAAAAAATAAGTATAAAATAATACCCACCTTATAGAGATGTTATGAGAATTAAATGAGATAATGCATGTAAAACTTTTAGCATAATGCCTGGACCATATTAAGTGCTCAGTGTAAAGCTGCAGTTAAGGTTTACCTGCCTGCCCGGAATTGCCAATGGCTATTTTTCATATAGGCTGATGAATCCCCAAACTACTTCTTCTATCGTATGATTCTGTGAACCACTCCCCCATCACTCTTTATACTATCCCCAGAGAGAAGACATTATTTCAGATGCCTGTAGATTAGCTGTTGTCTATTTACAAAAAAAAAATCCCATACATTCTATTCAACTATGAATTCTGATATGGTGTTTTCATGTTAGTGGAGTCCATTAAAGGATTTTCCCATATGAGCATAATTTTTTCTCATCCCCCCCTCCTTTTCTATCCATTGTCCTTCCCTGAAAAGGTTCATATTTTAATTTGTCTTTCATTCTTTTCCTCTTGCTTGCTTATCATTCTTTTAGTATATCTAAATGAACAAAATTAAAAGCTACCTTAAGGTGGAATTTGACCAAGAATGTAGCATTGATAGCTTCTCTCCTTAAGTGCCTTCTCCATACCTTTCCTGCCAGTGTTTGCTTATTATAAACCTCAATGAATCTTTATTTGGAGAATTTCAGACATTTCCTTCTCTTTTTATTTTCCCATTTTATATGAAGTATCCCAACACATACACAGGGTTTAGTGGAATAGCTGTGAGGATGATGTTTATCTTTTTGATAGAAAATTTGCATTTTATTACATGATATATCCATGGTTGTTTTAATTTAACAGCACTATTTTAAGTTTCTTACCACTGAGTAAAACTTATCTTCTGGTAGATAGGCCACAATTGTTATATATTTGGTACATTCCACCCCTGAGTCTAGCCTCTACACCCCAATTTGAAAAGCCTGACTATTAGTGGGTTTTTTTTCACCTAGATTGTAAGGCTGCTTTTAAACTTTGAAAAAAAAGATGCAGATGAGGCCTCGAGCTGTCTCCCAGATGAGGTGGGTAGGAAAGAGCAGAAAGTTTTTGCACAAGTCTCAAGGCTCAGTTTGTCACCCATCCCTTTTTCTGTGGAGTTTTTTGCACCCCTACCTTCATAATTGCCTTCAATTTGTTTGCACCATAGGATGTAGGAAGAAGCATGGGGGGAGGGAGTGAAGAAAAGGGAAGCAAAATAGAGGAGAAGCAATTATAAAATCAATTGAATATAATTTTCTGCCTATTTCTTCATAATCTAGCCCTAAACTGTCTAATATGGTAATCACTAGCCACATGTGGCTATTGAGCGCTTGAAATGCAGCTAGTGCAACTGAAGAATTGCATGTTTACTTTAAAATTAAATACTGAAGGAGTGTAAAATATTTTTTCCTTACACACTCCTTCATTGTTTTGGTAGAACTACACTTCACTTTAACTGTTGGAAATTTAGCATCCTAATGGAGATATACTATAAGTGTAAATACATACCAGATTTCAGACTTAGTATAAAAAAAAAAGGAATGTAAAATATCTCAACTTTTATATGGATTACATATTAAAATGATATTTTGGATATACTTGGTTACGTAAAATATATTATTAAATTCATTTGTTTATTTGTACTTTTTAAATGTGGCCTTAAAATATTTAATTATATATGTGGCTCACCTTATATTGGACAGTGCTGATCTAGCCCCACTATATCCAATCTTATTTTCCATTCCTTCCTTCATCAGGGAAGTTTCTGAGGGTCAGGAAGGAGAATCTGTACCTAAATCCTTGAACACCAAGGGAGGCATGGCTGCTTGGGTCACCGTGAGTTATGGATTCAGAGGTTCTAATAAGGGTCTTAGAGTAGTTTCCTGCTTTGCCTATTTATACCTCCATTTCTTATTACCATAAAAATGCTTTGAACACAAAAGTGATACAACTGTATTAATTATATGAACTAATTACCACCAAACATGGTAGTTATTTGTATATTGTTAAATGTTGATGGAATAACCTTATTTCAAATGTTATTATAGTATAACACTGTACATTCATGTACACTTAAAATCAGCCCCTAAAATAACATGGTCATACACTCACAACTTTAAATACTAGAGTGATCAATTTATAAAAATCCCTCAAAGTATATATTCCATACCGCTTTGCTGGAATTGCTTTTAATTTTCCAATAAATACCAATAAATGCTATTGAATAAGTGAATTTTGTAACATATTAAGGAATTTACCAGTAAGAAAAAATGTATTTTATGTGTGGAGGGGCTTCTTTTTAATATAATACTTGATATTGATTATAATTAAGTTCTGGAAAATGTTTTCCCTGTTCTATAAAAATTTTGAGGTGGCATAAAACAACCATATGATAAAATTATGTCAATACAAGCAGAATAAAAAATTATCAGGAAAAAAGAATATCACAAATAGATTATACAAGGTGTGATCAAACAATACGGTGAATGTTTAAATTTTTAAAAAATTATTGCAGTAAAAGACACATTGACATTAGTCCCCCTCAAAATACTCCCCCTTGCTTCAAACACACTTATCCCATTGTTCTTGCCACTTTCTGAAGCAGTTCTGGAAGTCCTCTTTCGTGAGTGTCTTTAGTTGCACTGTCATGGCTGCCTTGATGTCCTGAATCATTTTGACTTTGGGGAAGAGCCCGAAGTTGTATTGTGCCAGATCTGGTGAATAAGGTGGATGAGGACACAC